CCTCTTGAATGATAGAAATACACTTGGATTATCCACTTTTTCAACAAATATTTTATATTAGATTTGTTTGGGAAAAATAAGGGTTTTCACTCTCTTTTGATCTTTCAGTTATATTTGAGGACTAGAAATATTTACATTTGTAAGTAGGGCTGATCGTTATGGTAGACTTGTTTTGTTGGTGAATATTCATATTGGTTTCTTGGTATCTATTTATTGGAGAATGAGGTGATACTGCGTATGTTAGTCCACAGTTTGGTATGAAACAGAATCTGCTCCTACATTTGTCCTGTGAAATATTTCAGTTAGAAATGTATGGTATTGATTTTTTTTTTTTTTTTTCATTTAGTCAAGAAATTATGATTGCTGTCAGTTGTCTTATTTAGCTTCATAGATGAATAATTCTAATACCAGTTGGATTTCAAGATATACATTTTAGGATTTTTTTTCTCATTCTGAACACAAATTTGGAATATCATTATTTTGAGAGTAATTGAGCAGTCCATTAGAAAAGTAGTATTAACCATTTCTTAACTGACAGCTCACACCTGTGAAAATAAACACTTGCTCTTCCATACTAACTGCATATGTTGCCTTACATGCCACAACCAGTGCAATGTTCTTTATTTTCTATGCTAAAGTATTTAATTTGTCTTTATTTGTTTTTCAACTGCTGGTTAGACAAACTTTACATGTTTTGTAAATGATAAACTAATGGTAAGAATACATTATCTGGAATCTTGAATACTTTATGCAAAACACTACAAAAAATGTGTCATGATAATGAAACAAAATAGAGTGATCTAGTTATTGGTGTGAGCATTTAACCATGGCTGGTCATCCACATCTGTGAATTCATAAATTAAATTAACAAGTGAATGTTAACTTGGCAATAAAATCATTGTTGGAAGCACAAGACACTGCTTGACATGCAAGTTTATGATATGATGTAATATGATATGAAAATCTCTTAGAGTATGTAAATTAGGCCTAATTGAAATGACCTTTTGGTAAACAAGTGGTTAAAGAAAATACTACTTGAATAAGAGTGGATTATTATATTTTCATGCATACTTCAGTCAGATAAATAATGAAAAGTAAATTAAAAATTAGGCAGACTTCTTCTAAATCCCCATAAAGGTGCAGTGACAGTAATTCAGTAAGATTAAGTGAAGGAAAGCAATAAAATTAATTGAACTCCATGACGCCTAGATTCCAGTAGACTCACAGGACAGCGATGGGAAAAACAGCACTACACCATGCAGCAGCATCGCAAGGTCATGGAGATACCATACTGTTCCTCTTGGGCAGCAAAGGCAATGTGGAGATGAAGGACAACTGTGGCATGACTCCATTCCTTCGAGCAGTTGAGAAGTGCCATTTGCCAGTGGTCCAGATGCTGTTGCAGAGACGAGTAAGTAATAGATGAGCGGTGGGGAGGGAGATATAGCTGTGTTTGAAACTTTTCAGTTTGATTTCAGTTGCTTGGTATTTGAGAAAATGTGGTATGAGATATTAATCATAATTTGTGCAGTTTACATTTATCAGCTGTTGATATGGTGAGTTTTATTGGTTTGAATGTTTGATAGAAGTTAGTATTCATAATCTATATTTTTGATATTTTTTCTTTTCTTTTTTTAATACATTGTTCCATGAATAATCACTCATATAAAACAACTGTGATTGTAGTCATCAATGCTATTCGTATTTCAGGTTGACACACAAATTACAGACTTCCAAGGCAACACTCCCTGCACATCTGGCAGCCAGAACAGGGGCCACTGATCTACTGATGCTCTTATTAGACTGCGGATGTGAATATGACGATCAGAACTCCCTTGGTCGCAGTCCCTTACACATAGCATGCAGTGAGAACCAACCAGAGGCAGTAGAAGCTTTACTGAGACATGGCGCAAGTGTGAATGTTATTGACAAAGAGGGAGTCACACCTCTCATGGTTGCCGCAAAGATAGGCAGTGCCCCGGTGGTTGAATCCCTTCTAGACAATGGTGCAGATGTCAACCCTGTTGATTCCAGTAAATGGTCGGCTGCTGACTATGCTCGCTTCACAAACCACAACCAGCTACACCAACGTTTGAAAAGCCTGATGCGTGATGGAGGGAACAGCAGTTTGATTCCCCAAGGTTTGCTGAATATAAGTGATGAGGTAAGCACTGAAGAAGAAGGGGCTGTGGGACTAACAAGAGATAGAGACATGGATGAAGATGGAGGTGATTCTTGGAGTGATAACAGTGATGTTGCATCTATTAAGGAGAAGCCAAAAATTAACTTGACCAAGTTTTTACCATCGTCTGATGATTCTGGAGATAACATTTTTTCCAGCACTCCAGAACCAGGGAGTCTTATTGGACCTCCAAAGCCTCCTCGCCTTCATGCTAGTGTATCTAGTGTAGCTTCAGAACCAGCAAATGAAAATGATGTAGAGACTACCAGCAATAAGGAGGAGGTACTAGTGCAGATGATTCTTGGAAATCATCCTCCGAGGAAATGAAACCAAAAAGAGTTCTCAAGCATGTCAGCAAAGTTGAGGAAGAGGAAAACGTTGATAAGAAAAAGGAAAGCAAGGATGAAAAGCATTCAGAGGCAGAAGATTCTTGGAAATCGTCATCTGAAGAAGATGAGCCAAAGAAGAAACTGTTCCCATTGTTTCATGGTGAAAGTAACTCTCAAAAACTCCGGAGAGATGAGCTGCTTGACAGTCACGAACCTAAGCAGTCTGAGTCTCATGCAGGAAATTCAAAGTTCTTGGCAGACTTGGGATTAGACAACATGGAATTTCATTCATCAGAAGAAGTGTCTTTTGAAGATGAGGACTCCATGTTGCCCATTGAAGGCACCCCAACAAAAGTCACGGTCAGCCGGAGAAATTCACAAGCCATTGGTAGTAATGTGGGAGGTGGTGAGTCCTTGCCCTTTAGTGAGTCTCCAGCTGCTGTATCACCGAAAAGACAGTTTCCCAAGGTATCTGAGGATGAGGCATCTTCTAATGACTTCTCAGATTCTGATAAACAAAAATTTCCTCTGAGTAGCCGCTCTTCCACAAAGGCAAAGGAGGAAGGTGGGAATATCTCTCCGCAGAAGACTTCTCCAAAGAAATCACCCTCAAAGAGATCCCCAATGAAAGCTAAAATGATTCGCAAGAGCTCCAGCATCTTTGACAGTGACACAGATGAAGAAGCAGCATCACCACGTCGCCTCCAAGGAAAAGAGCCTAACCCCTACCAAAAAGAAGTTTAGCCCTTCTTCATTTGAGAGATCACCCAGGAGCCAAGACAATAAGAATGAAGATGAAGACAACAAATTGGGGAGTTCCTCAGTTACTCAATGTGTAGAAGATGCAAAGGTAGCTGCAATTGATGGAAAAGAAGTATTAGATGCTCTGGAAAGGAAAAGGGTTGAGGTCATTGCCCAAGGAAAGCTCTCAGATAGCAGCACAAGTGGTGGGAGCAAAGGCTCTCTTGGTGCCGGAGGAATAGCCAGTTCACGCACAAACTCCCCATCAACAGTGGTAGGAACTCTAGGGCGAGAGGGAACCATGCAAGAATTGGAGGAGGTGTGGGAGGCAAATGCTAGCATCAGCCCCAAGAAATACTACTCCAGCACAAGCAACCATGGTTCAGAAGATTCACCTGAGCATGAAAAGACAGATGAGAATGTGAAAGCAAAAGCAAAACCTGATATGCATAAAGATGAAACTGATGGAGTCCCAAGGGAAGGAGAGATTGTACCACAGCAATTAGAAGACCAAGGTAAAAAAGACATGATGAAGACTACCACTCAGCTAGAACCTGAGAACACAAGTCGAGATGTCAGTGATGATGATCTTATCTCTGGGGGGGTTGAGACACCATTACCAGGTACGCACAAGGGCAGCCACACACAGGATCTATCAAGAGTTTCACCTCTGAAGATGGGAAGGATGCCAACTTCCTCAGAGGTCAGAGCTGCTGAGGGTAAAGGCAATGTCCAGTCTCTAAAAGAAAAATTTTCTGTGTCTCTAGAAGAATCTGTGTCATCTCCAAGAAGCAAAGTGACTGTTAGAACTCCTAGACGGATGTCCAAGGAGGAGCAGGTGTCACCAGTATTTGACAGTCCAGCTAACGACCATGCCTCTCCACCCAAGAGACCAGAAGCTTCCATTTCTACTCCGAGAGAGCCTCCAATCTCCAGTACGCCTCAAAGCAGAAAGGGATCCAGGAGTGGCATAACACGTTCAAGTGGGCTCGGTAGCATTGTTTTCAGCGATGAGGAATCAATTATACCGGACCCTCTGATAACCCCTCGCTGCATAGATGATGCAGATGACATGGTGTCTGTGGCATCCACAGAAACTGAAGAGAGCACACATATTAACTCAGGACTTAAGGACTCTATTTGACTCCCTTGTCATCTTTACCTGAAGCAAATAACGTCAGTCAGCTGCAGGATTTGGTGAGAGAGTTGAGATTGAAGTTAGAAAAAGAGTTTGGTCGACGTGCTGCTCAGGAAACGAAGATATCCCACATGCAGCAGATGGAGAAGCAATGTAAGAAGCACATTGATGAACAGGAAGAAAAGATGCAGCACCAGCAGCAAGAGGTGAGTTGCTAAATGCTGAGTATTAAAAAAGGTAAGTACACTTGGAAATCTATATTTGTCTCATTGCTTTAAAACTGAAATTAAAAATTTATTAGGATATTTAAGTACTTTTGTCTTGCAAAATGCCTCATTTTTCAATCCTAACAGATCTCCAGTCTCATGGCAAGGATCAAACAGCTTGAATATAGAGGTAAATGTGAGCAAGATTCGTCTCGACTTAAAGACCAGTCACTCGAAGAGGCTCAGCAACAATGTGTCCAGCTGCAAGACCAATGTGTGCATTTGCGAGCTCATGCCCAGCAACAAGAGGAACTTGTCGATTCATTGATGGGCAACTGGAGACAAAAGAACGTGTGAATCAGATCCTTCAGAGCAAGGTGGAGGAACTCTCCTCACAGACAAAGTAAGGGTTGAAATGAAACTGTTATTGATAATGACAATGTGATGATCATAAAAGCAGGAAAAATACAGACAAAGATATTGATAATAATAATGAGAATATCTACCAAGAATATTGAAAAAATAGGATCAGTGTCTAATTTTGTTTTTTCACATTCCTTTTCAGATTTGTTTCCATGAAGAGCTGTCAGACAGAGGAAACTTATTTTGCATCACAGTCTACAGCAACTAATGATATCCAGCCTGAAGAAAGTGAAAAATTGGATGTAGCTTCACAGACTATATGTTCTACACTAGATGCAGTGGATGTTGAGATTCAAACAGAAGTTGAGACACAGGAAAATTTTGTTACAAAAAGCATAGAAAGTGTACCTCTTCAACAAGCCAAACAGATTGAAAAATCTTCATTCTCAACCCAAACAGAAGAAATTTTGAAAAATGAAGTACGCAATGTTCGAGATGCAGAAACACAAAGTGAAGAGTGTAGGGAATCACAGGGCATCAGCACAGCTGTTCAGTGCACACCAGAAACTATTGGAAGTCATGCCAGACTCAGATCCTTATCCAAAGTCGTACTGTGCAAACTGACTTGACAAATGCAAATAGCCATATTCAGTCAAAGAAGGTAGTTAAAGATATGCCATGCCAAACATCAGCACTTGGAAGGCAAGCAGCAGTTCAGACAGATGTTCAGGAAGCTCCACATCCCAGGGAGTTACCAGATGGCCAGCAGGAGACAAGGCCCAGTATCAGCGTTCATGACATAACATCGGCGCTTGAACCGGTACTCCTTAACTTTTCAAATGATGTTAAAACTTTGATAACAGATACATTTGATGTCAACCAGACCTCTGCCTTTGAGAATATTAGTCAGTGTCTTATCAGAGAGATACAAAATGTTGGAAGTATCCTTGAGACATCACTCCAGCAGGCATCTTCACTGCAGTGTGAGGATACTCAACAAGAAATTTACAAGTGCTATGGATCGCATTGAGGACTCCTTGCGATCACAGCTGGAGACAACTGCACAACTTCTTCAAAGCAGGGAGAGAAATAATTCAGGTGAGATTCAGGAGGTTCTTGAGAAGGTAAATTCTTCTCTTGTTGCAAGTTTCGAAGAGGTGAGGAACGACCTACATAAAATACAGAGGCAGAGGGGATCTAGTGAACAAGATGTTTTGGAGAAGCTGGATTATTCTTTTCCGAAATCTTAAGGAGAGTAATGATTACAGTGTAAAAAGCTTATCAGATGCAATCAAAACAAGCAAAGATTATAATATGCATGCCATAGAGACTCTGAAGGATGATTTGATGCCAAAGTTTGCTGAAATGAAGAGGGCTATTGCAGCTAACCAGCCTGAAGATAGTGGCATCTCTGAAAGCCTTGGCAGAGATATCACAGATAAGTTGGGGAAGATGGAGAGGTCCCTTATGTCATCATTTGAGAAGAGTTTGAGCACTCAGGATTTATCAGGTGTAGAACATGAAGTTCACAGAATGTCAGAAGAATTACAAAGAAAGATATCAACTCTACAGCAGAGCCTACAGTCTGTTGATTCAGGCACAAGACTGGATTTGACAGAGGTGGATGCAGACTTGAAGAGCATCAGGGAGAGCAACAAGCAGGTCATGTCCCTCCTTAAAGCCCGCTCCTCTGAGTCAAACACAAACCTGAGCGAAGCCCTGGAAGAAAATTTCCTCATTCTGCAAGACCACCTACGTCGACTCCAGCAAACTCTGGTGCAGAGAATCAATGAGGTATCTCAGCATGCCAATCTCGCAGAGGACCAGAAATTGTCCTGGCTGTCCAAGCAGATAACAGAGATGACCACCCAGGTTGCAGGGATGCAGACAGGACTCATGCGCATGCAGTCATCCCTTGAAGCATCCAGAATCTGCCATCTGTCAGTGGAATCATTGATGAGTCTCTTATATCAGCCCTGAAAGCCAGTAATGAGCAAGCAGTGTCAAGTCTGAAATTCCAGAACCAAAGTATGATACAGCTCTTAGAATCTTTGCAGAAGGATGTCCACAGCTTTATACATCAGAAACCCATCATAAAGGATGGGCCCGATGTACAGTTATTAAAGGATTCCTTACACAGTAAAGAACTGGAACTGGATAGACTCTCTAGCAATCAAGAAAAACTTCAAGAGAAGGTTCGCTTTCAGGTGAGTTAGTGATTTTTCTTCTTAGATTACGAAATTATATTGATTTATTTCATAATTCATATTAATGTGAACATATACTAGCTAACTAACATTAAAGAGGAGTTACAAAATTTTACTTTTCATTGTTATACTTATAAAAAAAAAAAAAAAAAAAAAAAACTTTTCCTACTGTTTGTAGGCAGTCATGCATACAAAATTTGATTTTGATTTTGTAGAGTGCAAATCTGGAACGTCTACAGCAAGCAGAGCTTCACCACCAGCAGACAATAGAGTCTCTCTCAAGGGATCTGAAGGAGGCACAGAGCACACTCAGAGAAAAGGATGAGAGAATTCATGAAGTAACACTCAAGACAGCCAGTCAGAATGATGATTCCTCAAGGATACGTCAGGAGAACTTCCGCCTTAGCTCAGAGAATGGCAAGCTCTCAGCACTGTTACAAGCAGAGCAACACCAGAGGCAATGGTATGAAGGTGAGCTGCATGGCCTGAAGGAAGCTAAGGATATTTCTGAGGCCAGAGTTCAAGAGTTGATCCAACTCTTACAAATGCCACGACAGCAACCTCCCATGCTCCGCACTCCTCCGACAGGCAGAGACAATGATGATGACAGTCTTGCAGATAAAAAGAAAGAGATCAGGAAACTGGAAGAGGAAAAGTTGGAAGCAGAAAACCAATATAAGGAAGAGTGCAGTAGAGCTCAGCGTTTGGAACTGCGGTTGAGAGAAACAGAGGCTGAGCTGGGTTTGAAAGAAATTCCAAAGGTGAACTTGAGAAGCAGCTCAGGAAGACCAAGGACAGTCTTGCACAGCTCCAGCAAGGTATTCAGGAAGCTACACAACATCAAGAATCTCTACAGGATCTGACTGCTCAAAAGAAAGAGCTAGAGGCTGAAATCAGAAATAGTAATGACACCATAGAAACTCTCAGGAAGAAAATAGAGAGTATAAACCAAGAGAAGCTGCAGCTGAAACAGGAAGTCATGATGCTGAAAGGAGAGAAGCTATCCTTTGAACTGATCAGGCAGGAGAAGGAGCTTGCTGAGCAGATGCAAAAGAGAGCAGAAGAGCAGTTGATGGAGTTGCAGAGGAAGATTCCCAGAGAATATGTGCCAAAAGCAACACTCCTTCACCTTCAGGCTGAGATTGAGAGCAAATGTCAGCTTGAGTTGAGCAACAAACTTGCTGAACTAAACCAGCTCATTGATCAACAGAGTCAACAACAGCAGTCCCAAGCCAAAGTCAAAGAATCTCAAGAGCAGGGACTAAGGAACGAAATCTCGAGGTTATCCGAGGAAATAATACGCCTCCGTGCAAAACTGAGTGTGTATAGTGAGGAGGAAGACACATGGAAAACACGGCACAACAGACTTATGGATCTCTACCAACATGAAGTGCAGACTAAACATAACCACATCCACAAAAACACACAGTTAAATAAACCCAAAGAAGAATCCGTATCCATCAACCTCCGTGAGATTAATGCTCACTTGCAGGTAAGTTGAATGCAAAAATGTTTTCACGATTTTAAACATTCTGAGTTTTGGATTTATATTTTAAGTTTCTTCCAGCACTTATTTTTAGTTGTTATAGTGACTGAAATTGAGTCAGTGTTTATATTATTGCAATTATTGTATTTTTATAATTAAGAGAGCCCTTATAGGTCTCAACATATTTTAATAACACCAGATCTCTTCAACTATTTTTTTTCTCTTTTATCCTGCCAGACACCCTTTGCCTCCTCAACTTTTTTGGGGCAGCTAACACCACCCTCGTCACTGCACCTTCCAAAGGCTCCTAGCAATATTGACAGTTACCATTATACCCACTCAGACACACTGGATCGAACCCTCAACAAGTACCTGAGTTCGGTAGATGAAAGGCCAAGGTAATATACTTTCCATTTGTATGATGCCATATTTTTGGCAAGTGGTATTTAGTATGCTTATTGCATCTGGAGACTTGGGTTCATTTTCTACTCAGTATTACCTTGAAATTCAAAATAGAGTTCAAATAAGCTGTGTAAAAAAAAAATAGATTAAGAAAAGTATAAACACTGGTAAAATAGTTTACATTGACAAGCATTTTTGCGAGTTCAGGTGAGCATATGCTTCAGACTGCAGAAAATTATGGATAGTATTAGTAATTGTTTGACATAATTTAATGTACATTTAAACATGAAATAGTAGACCATTAGGATTCTTATTTTGAAGTTTGAATTTATGACACTTCAAATACAGGAAAGAGTATTCATAGCAAGGAAAATAAATGCCTGTATTATTATATTCTAAAGATAGGAAAATATATGCAGTTGCAATAGAGCATTTGAAGAAAGAAAATGGAAGGTATTGTTAGTGAATGCTTTTGAGGATTGAGAAAAGAATAGCAGGAAGTAGATATAAAATTCCTAGTACTAGGATTGAGTAATGAAGTGTGTCACTGCGCCACTATTTTCTTATAACTTTGTAATTCCTTAGTTAAATAAGGTGGAACAGTTACTTCTTGGTAGTACTTTGATAACATTAGTGATGCTTTCTTTCTGTTTATTCTTTAGACTTCATTCTGGTTCAAGAATATATCAAATACACCTGGAATAAACACGTGGTGGAACGGATAACAAAACATGGTTATTTTCCACCACTTTAATGATATAATAATACTCTAGTTCATTATTTACACTGGCACACATCTGCGAGGCTATAACTGAGTGAGCGCAAGAAGGACTGGCTTCTCGCTTGGTGTTATATACACAGTACTGAATGGGATAGTTTTACTAGCCTCTCACAATCCCCGTAAAATTCACACTTGTTCTTGCCTTAATATATTGATATTATTTAC